GAAAAAGAGGCTTTCAGTTGGCAGGACCAGCTTGTGCCAAGACCCTGAGGCAGGAGAGCTCTCTGTGTGCTGGAAGTCAAGAAGGGCATCAGAGACAGAGGTAGTCTGGTGGGGGTTAGGCAGGAGGGATATGTAAGAATCAGGTCACACAGGATGAGGTAGGCCCTGGCAAGGACTTTTGTGCTAAATTCGGTGGTAGAAACTAGTAGAGGGTTTCAGGCTCAGGAGTGAGATTATCTGACTTATATTTAAAAAACATCACTCGAGCTGCTATGTAAAGAAAAGGCTACTGGGGGAACCGAGTGATAGCAGGAAGACCAATGAGCAGCTTATTTTAGGGGTCCAGGCGAGAGATGGATGCCGACTCATAGTGACCCTAGCAGACAGGGCCGAACTGCCTTGAGTTTCTAGACTGTAACTCTTTACAGGAATAGAAAGCCCAGTCCTTCTCCCTCGGAGCAGCTGGTGGTTTCAAACTGCTGACTGTGCAGTTAGCAGCCCACTGTGTAACCACTACACCATGAGGCTCCTTACTAGGTGAGAGATGAGAGTTTACTTTCATGGCTTGGTGGACACTTATTGCATTAAAGCATTTGGAGATACAGAATGGAGATATTGATTTGGCAAAGTCATTTATCTCAAAAATTTGCTTATCTTATACAACTGGGATAACCCCATCTGATCAGTTTATCTCAGAGCACGATTCTAAACGATAATGTTTGGGAAAGTAGTTTGTAAGCTACAACATACATGGGGGGTGATATGAGTTAAAATAGACTTGACAGCCCCTAACAACAACAACGTACTCTTCACCTCTCTCGGTGGCACAAGCGTTTCTGACTGACTGGTAACCTAAAGGCTGGCAGTTTGAACCCCCTCCGAGGTTGCTGGAAGAAAGGTCTAGTATTCTGCTTTCATGAAGATTATGGTCAAGAACACCCTGTGGAGAAGTTGTGCTCCACAAAGCATGTGATCACTATGAGTCAGCATCAACTTGATGTCAGGAAGCTTGGTTTGATTTTTTTTTTCTGCTTAATGTATGATCCACCAAGGATCCCTGGTGGTGCAGTGAGTTAAGCATTGGATTGCTAACCACAATGTTGGCCGTTTAAACCCACTAGCTGCTTTGCAGGAGAAAGACGAGGCTCTCTGCTTCTCCTATGAAGATCTATAGCCTTGGAAACCTTACGGGGTACCACTATAGTGTCTTGATGAGTTGGTACTATGTCTTTATGAGTGGCACTATCCACCAATCACCTGTCCGTTTGCTTGCACTGTGGCAGGTTAGGTGTTGCTGTGATGCCGGAAGCTATGCCTTGGGTATTTCAAAGACCAGCAGGATTATTCGCAGCAGGTGGACGTCAGTGGAGCTTCCAGAGGAACACAGAGTAGAAAGCAAAGCACTGTTATGTACTTCTGAAAATTAGTTCATGGAAACCTTATGGACCACAACTGAGCATTGTCCAATAAAGTGCTGGAAGATGAGCCTTCTGGGTTGGAGGACACTTAAGATACAGAGTGTCTGCAATGATCTCGAACATACCAATGATGATGAAGATGGCACACAGCTCCAGGCCACCTCTTGTGTGTTGGCCATGGGCTTGCCCTGAGTCAGAGCTGACTCAATGAAAATGAACATTAATTACAACAATGCATTATGCAAATGTTCACTGCTCTGGTTCCCACTCTTCTTGTTGACAGAATCCCAGTTTTGCTCTAGATTGGAGAACACCTTCCCCCCATGGGAAAGTATGTGAACTGATCGTTCAGGGATTTCAACACTGAGTTTTGTGGAACCGTGTTGTGGAACGGCCATCTGCTACCGGCTCCCTGGACCTGGACAGCGGCACGTTCCTTTATATGCCTGGTTCTCCAGCTCTCTTTGATTCTGGGACCTCTTCCATACCCTCCCACTAAAGTCCATTTTCAATACAGTTAAGAGCTGTTTTCTGGTGATTGTAGCCAACAAGTCTACCAGTCATATTTGGAGCAGGTGATTTACATGGGATTGGGGTTTAGAGAGACGTGGGAGTGGCTGTGCCATTATTGCCTGCAGCTGTCTGGTTGGACTGCATATTCTGAGGTAGACTTTCTGGGATGTGGGAGACACCACCAGAAGTAGAAAGATCAGCTCCAAGAGAAGGATGCTGGACTGAATGTGTTCTGGGGACAGTTCTCACAGAACAAGAAGTGCCATTAATAATAAAGTAGAACACCTCATTAGCTCAACTTAGGAAATAACGTATAGAATCACTGAGTGTTACTGAATGAATAAATGAATGACTAGATTATTGAAAGAATTGAAGTCATCTGGTGTCCAGATGTCCAGTCCTAGTTCTACCCCATAGCTAGTTATGAGAGCCTGAGAAAATCCCAGGTGTCCATTTTCCACCTGCAAATGGGCTTACTAATTAATTTCTGCCTTACATATTTCACAGGACCAGGATGTGACTCTGAATGAACAAAGGTGAAAGGTGAGAACGTGGTAAAATGTTAAAGACTTGGGTTATGGCTGAAAGGTTTGGGAAAGCAACAGACTCGTTCCTAAGTGGGAGGGAGGGAGGGAGTGAACATAAAGACACGTCAGGCTGACGATGAATTATCAAAGAGCCGTATTTCAGATGTACAGCTGGGGTACAAGGATTGCCCCGAGAAGGGTAGAAAAGTTTGTGAAGACCACCGGCTCCTCAGGCCGCAGGAGACTTCCACCAGGCGAAGACTGGATCCGAGGCCGGCCCTGCTGCTGTAGCTTTGGGACTGGGCTTCTCAACTTACTAAACACCCCTGGAGATGAAAACGCGAAGATCTCTTTTAATCAAGAAATATAAGACCCTGGTCTCTCCCCCACATTCCCTAAGGGAAAGCGCCTGCACAAATGTGCATGTACTTGCTGTTTTGAGCTTGGATTCCTTTTGGTTATAACCTTAGTTGGCTGTGTGTCTCGTGATCTGATGGGAGTTCTATGTGGGGATTTGTGAAACTAGAAAACATTTGGATGTAAGGTAACAGCTAGAAGAGATGAGTGGAGTACTGCTAAATACTTAATAGCCAACTCTAAAATAACACTAAGGAAAAGCTCCGATTTGTAGCATGTGCCAATCTGTGCTGTGTAAATGCTCCTATTGTGGTTGATTTCAATGGCTTCACAACCTGCTAGCAATCCTGAAAATTAATAATTCATTTGCGTGAGTTGGTGTGAGTCAGCTCCAGCAGCATACCACTGGAAGGGAAGGGAAAAAAATGCAGCCGATTGGGTGGTCTGTCAGGATAAATGGGTATCTTATTCAGTAAAATGCCTACTTAGCAGTGGATCCTAAACATGTTGTTCTTTCATTTACTTTTAAAATTAGAGAGTAGCTAGGGAGACAAGATTCATACATAGAAAGTTTCATTAAAATATAGGATATGCATTAGGCTGTTACATAATGATCACCCGGAGGGAGGGGAAGTCAGTCAGGAGCAGGTCTGGGGAGGCTCCTGCTGTGAGTGGGGGTTGGATCATGGCACATGCGGTATGAGTGGCACACGTCCGTGAGCAGAGGAAGTCAGGCAGTTTTGAGAGTACAGCTGTGAGAGGTTGGGGAGGGGCCAATGAACCTGGCTGGGGTTGTCAGCACTCAGAGACCCAAGAGGAGGATGTGGCTCAATCATGGGATCAGAGGAGAGTGCTTCCCGTGTAGCTGGTCATCATCGACATCTGCTGTTGTGTCTACTCAGCTTCCGTTTCTCCTCCCATCCCCCCTTTCTGTTCATGTGGTTTGCAGGAGACTTACTTCACACCCAGGGCCCAGGAGTGGGTTTGTCAATCAAGGCTGGTCCATGATGAGGCGTATGATCCACATCCGTTCAATGGCAGCCCATCCGGGGATATTGGTTCACTAAGCTAGTAAGATGCTTTATGTAGGACTGAAGTTGTGTGGCTAATTTGTCAACACATGAGGAGGAGGATTTAATAAAATGCACTCATGGGATGTGTAGATAGATTGATTTCTGATAATGTTAGTTAAATATCCACAAAAGAACCACTATTTTTATTACTAATACCATTCCATTTTCTGCCAAATAATTTCTGGCCCATGGAGACTTCTATGTGTGTCAGGGTAGAACTGTGCTCCGTTGCCAGGCATTTGGCCTGAGGAGCCTCTGCGTGGATTTGAACTGCCAGCCATTCACTTAGCAGCCAAGTGTGTTAAGTGTTCGTACTGCCCAGGGACTCCTAATTGCGATGTAATAAAACCCTTTTTGTGGGCTTATGCCAATTTGAGTTGTGCTTCTGTTCTTTGTGACTGAAGGAGTCCTGCCAAAATATTAATTAATTTATGTAATTAATATAAGGAAGAGTCAAGATTGAGAGACTGATAGGCACTCCTTAAAAAAGCATTGTTTAGAAAGAGAACCTTTAAAAAGCTATGGGGACTTTTTTTTTTTTTGTAGATCAAACAGTATATTTTACTATACATCTTATATTTATACATTTCATCTATGCTTTTAAAACTTCAACAGTTGAATATAAAAAATATAAGCAGCAGTGGTTCTCAGACATAGTATCTAGGAGAAAATTGGAGCAAGTTTTTCTGTAGGCATTTAGTGAGTATTACAAATCAAGATGGTGGAATGTCTCCTGACTCGGCTACCTTTTTGATCAACTTTTTACAGTGATTTGATTCCAATTCAGAGTGACCCTATAAGACAGTACAACTGCCCCATAACACAGTTTTCTAAGCTATAATATTTATGGGTTTGAACCACCAACTGTATAGTTAGCAGCAGCGCATCTTACAAAGCCATTATGCCACCAGGGTTCCTTTGAACAACTTTGGTAAGTATAATATTGCTAATTGGAAACAATGAGATATAAAATAAGTTGACTTGTATTTTCTTGATGTCCTTGAGACCTAAATGATTGTTTTCTCCTAATGGAGAAAAGATCCAATAAGAATTAATATTTTAAATAGACCATCTGGATGGAGCATCTGCCTAAGAACCACTGCCCATGGTTATTCAGTCTTCAGGCCTCACAGGATGAGGTAATGGTATGATAGGTTTCTTCTCTGTGTCTCTGGATAGTGCTTTCCTCATATCGTAACCATCCTCATCCGGTTCCCCGTTGCTGGCCGAGTAGTATTCTATGACCGTCCTGTATACACTGTAGCCCAACTGCTTGTACATGTTGACTGCAACTTGGTTAGATACTCTTACAAAGAGATCAACAAAAAAGCCACCCTTCCTTTCTGAAATCTCTTCTAATAACTCCATAAGTTTAGCTGCCAAACCAAGGCGTCGGAATTCTGGGGCAACAGACAGCGCTGTGACGTGCCAGTGCCATTCTTCCCTTGCCACTGAGCCTTCTGCTTTCCCCATAATATAACCCATTAGCTCCCAGCCAGGCGCCTCTGCAACGATGAAATACTCTGGCCAATGGGCAAGGTATTGCAAGTAAAAAGGAATCCCATAAGTTTCTGTAAGCGGATCCAAGTTAATGTTGTTGAAGCGAAACAGGTCGTCGCAGGTAAAAGCTCGGAGCGTAGTCATCGCGCGGCTCCCGCGGCCCAAGCCGGCTCGCTATGGGGACTTTTGAAGCAACACGGACAATCAACAATAGAGAGATGGAGAGTAAATTGGGTTTGTATCTGTTTTATGAAGGCAATAGAACTATTAAAGAAACCAAATCAAACCACCATGGAGTTGACTGCGACTCGCAATGCTCAAAGAGGTTATCCTAAAATTGTAACTGTTGTAACTTGGTGCTGTTGAGTGGATTCTGATCACAGCAACCCTATAGTACAACCGGACCCAGCACTGCCCAGCCCCACGCCGTCCTTGCTGTTGTTCTTCTACCCCTTAGGGTTGCAGTAGCTGACAATGTTTCCATGCGGTCCGTTGCGGTTTCACTGTGAAGTGGGCAGCTTACTCCTTTTTCATAGTCGGTTCTTCATCTGGAAGCTCTGCTGAAGCCTGTTCACTTTGGGTGACCCTGCCGGTATTTGAAACATCAGTGACATAGCTTCCAGCAGCACAGTCACATACAATACAGCGGTGGACAAACTGACAGACAAGTGGTGGACAACTACAATAGGGACAGATAAAGATTGTTACAATATAATGATGAGAAACGCCAAGGGACAATATAACATAGCAGTAGATGCATTATGATACTTTAAAGAAATTTAAAAACAGAAACAATGTAAAAATGGGCCAGAAGAGCCTAGTGGAGTTAGATCTCATAAATAGCAATGTAGCTGAGAGGAAACTAAGAGCCTAATGAAGGTCGAACATGATATTGGGGCAGGAGGAAAGTACAGATAGGGAAAAGCCTAGGAGGCAAAAGACATTTATAGAGGTATAAATATAGACATGTACATATGTAAATATATTAATATATAACAATATGGGTATAGTCTTATGTACATATATTTATATGCCAGGTTGCAAGGGGAAGCCAGCCCCTAGCACATCATCACAGGTCCAGTAGGCGCAATTGTACAGCGATAATAAGTAAAGATCATAGTAAAGTCATAAAGAGCATGAGAGATGGAAGAGAGATATAAATAATGGAGTCAGACACATTTCATGGTAGTAATGCTCACCTCAGCCTCACTTGGTGGTCCACATGGAGAGAGAGAGATATTTAATGCTAACCAAGGCTTTTATATTCTCTGGGGACATGCAAACCCCTAATTACAGGTGAAGACATATGTCACAGGAAAAGGTTGTGCTATAGGCAACAAAGTAATGGGAGGGGATGGTCTAGGGGTATACACGCAATACAAAGAGGAGGGATTGGGGGTATGCATGTGGCAAGATGGGTGGATCCTAGATTCAGGATGGCAGCCTAACTTTGGATGTCACTGAGCCAGTTTGACCTGTTCCCTGGCACCATTATCAGTAGGCTGTGAACTCCACCTACAGGAAGCAAATTGATGACTGCAAGCCTTCAGGGAGAAGTAGCCCATTGTCCTTAGAAGCAGGGAGTAGACAGTAGTCTGGCAGCTGACTGCCTTCAGGGAGGATGTCTCTAAGTATCTGACCTCCTCCCATATGCTAGCAAAAAGCAAAAAGTCCCTAATGTTTGGCAAATCTTTGGGGGAGACAAAACTGGGGGAAAGTCTCTTTATAATCCCACGCCAAGTATGAAGGAAGCAGATGGACCTGGCTTTCTACTCACGTACTCCCTCAACACAAGAACACATCATTCTAAAAACCTGGCATTCTGTGATGCTCACCTTCCCAACACGATCGCTGAAGACAAAGTGGGTGCATAAGAACATGTGGTGAAGAAAGTTTATGGTGCCTGGCTATTAAAAGATATAGCACTTGGGGTCTTAAAGGCTTGACGTTAAACAAGCAACCATCAAGCAGGGAAGCAACAAAACCCACATGGAAGAAGCACACCAGCCTGTGTGATAACGAGGTGCTGAGGGGATCATTTATCAGACATCAAAGAAGAAAAATTCATATCAGTGGGTGCCCATCAGGTATCAGGCATCAGAAAACCCCAAATAGTCATATCAATGTGAACAAGTGGGGTCAGAGTGGAGATCCAAAACCTATCTGTAGACAGTTGGACATCCCCTCAAAGAAGGGTCACAAGGAAGAGACGAGTCAGCCAGGGTGCAGTGTAGCACTGACAAAACACACAACATTCCTCTAATTCTTTAATGTCCCCCCACCCCACAAGTATCATGACCCCAGTTGTACCTTACTAACCAGGCTAGACTGGAGCATTTACACTGGTACAGATAATAGTTCTTGACACACAGAATCCAGCACAGATAAATCCCTCAGGAACAGTAATGAGAGTAGTGATACCATGAGGGTAGAGGGAAGGTGGGGAGAGAAGGGGGAGAAAGGGGGAACCGGTCATAAGGTTTGATGTTATAACCCGCCCCCTCTCCTCACCTCAGGGGGATGAACAACAGAAAAGTGGGTGAATGGAGACAGTGGATGGTGTAAGGTATAAAAACAATAATAATTTAGATCTATCAGGGGTTCATGAGGCTGGGAGGGTGGGGGAGGAAGGGAAAAAAGAAGAGCTGATATCAAGGACTCAAGTAGAAAGAAAATGTTTTGGAAATGATGATGGCAACATATGAATACACGTGCTTGATGCAATGGATGTATGGATTATTATAGGAGCTGTAGGAGCCCCCAATAAAACAATTTATTAAAAAACAAAACCAAAAAAACTTAAAAATGGGTCAAAAGAGAGATCAAATGATAGGCTATTACATTTTAACCTAACCACATCACCCATAATAGACTTTACAATGCTCTCTGTCTGATAGCAGGGCTAGTCACATCCCTCAATTATGGTGCATTCGGATACTTTTTGCTGACTCACAGCAACCCCCGGCGGTTTCTGAGACGGTGATGTTTATGGGAGTAGAAAGCCCGGTCTTTCTCTTTTGGAGCTGCTGGTGGTTTCAAACTGTCAGCCATGTGGATCGCAGCCCGACGTGTAACCACTCCACCACCAGGGTTCCTTTTATTAAACTGGTTTATGTAATTAATATAGGGAAGATTCTAGAAACTAAGCATTAAAATGATTCCAATGGTTATCTCTGAAAGGGGTGATTATCCGTTTTCACTAGCTGTGTTTTCTAGTTTTATTACAGGGAGCATTATTTAAGAAAGAAAAATGATGTTGTTTGTTGCCATCAAGTTGATTCCGACTTACAACAAGGACACACTGCCCGGTCTAGTGCAGCCCTCACAGTCATTCTTATGTTGGAGCCTATTGTCACAGCCCCTGTGTCAATCCATCTCATCGAAAGTCTTCCTTTTTTGCTAGCAACTCAACTTTATCAAGCATGTTGCTCTCCCCAGGACTCGCCCTCCTCATTACAGATCTGAAGTACATAAGATGCGGTCTTAAAATGGTCCCTGGTAAGGTGCAGTCATTCTGACTGTACTTCTTCCCAGAAAGATGTGTTCATTCTTCTTGTAGTCCATAGAATATTTAACATTTTTTCACCATAATCAAAAGGCTTAAATTCTTCAGTCTACTTTATTTATTGTTCAGCTTTCTCATGCATATGAGGTGATTGAAAATACCTTAGTTTGGGCCAGGCATGCTTTAATTTTCAAAGTGGCATCTTTGCTTTTTAATACTGCGTTTACTTTAACTTTTTATTGTGTGTTTCATTAAAATATAAAGCTTTTTATTGAGACATTTAATTTTTAAATTATTTTTAAAAGCACTTTTGTATATATGTTTCCATCATCATTTTCAAAATATTTTCTCTCTACTTGAGGCCCTGGTATCAGTGACTTATTTTTTTCCCTTCCTCTCCCACCCTCCCTCCCTCATGAACCCTTGATAAATGATAAATTATTATTATTTTCATATCTTACATCATCCGCTGTATCCCTTCACCCATTTTTCTGTTGTTAGTCCCCTTGGGGTGTGTGTGTTATTGTCCATCATTGTGATCAGTTTCCTCTTTCTTCCCCTAACCTTCCTGGTATTGCTACTCTTATTCTTGGTCCTGAGGGGTTTATCTGTCCTGGATTCCCTATGTTTTGAGCTCTTATCTGTACCAGTGTACATGCTCTGGTCTAACCAGATTTGTAATGTAGAATTGGGGTCATGATAGTGGAGGGGAGGAAGCATTAAAGAACTAGAGGAAAGTTGTATGTTTCATTGGTGCTATACTGCACCCTGCCTGGCTCGTCTCCTCCCCAGGAGATGTGTGACAACATTTTAAAGAGGTCTTTTGCAGCAGAATTGTCCACTGAAATATATAGTTTGATTTCCTGGCTGCTGCTTCTGTGTCATTCATTGATTGTGGATCCAGGCAAAATGAAATCCTTGACCCCTTGAATATACTCTTTGTTTATCATGATGTTTTTCATTGGCCCACTTTTGAGGTTTTCTCTACATAGATGTGCCATTCATACTGTAGTCTATAGTCTGATCTCTGTCAGTTAGTACCTCAAATCTTCATTGCCTTCCACAAGCAGGGTTGTGTCATCTGCATATTGCAAGTCGTTAATGACTCTTGATGTTGCATTCTTCATATAGTTCAGCTCCTTGGATTATTTACTTAGCAAGCAGATTGAGTAAGCATAATAAAAGGATATAACCCTGATGCACATCTTTTCTGATTTTAAATCTCTCAGTATCCCTTAATTCTGTTTGAGTGATTGCCTCTTGGACTATGTACAGGTTCTACACGAGCACAATGACTCACCACCACTGAATCGATTCTGACTCATAGCTTCCCTAAAGGTTAGGGTAGATCTGCCCTTGTGGGTTTCCAAGACTGTAACTGTTTATGGGAGTTGAAAGCCTTGTCTTTCTCCTGTGAGCACAATGAAGCATTCTGAAATTTCTGTTTCAAAAGAACAAAAGGCATTGTTTTTATGGCACGAATTAAGGAAATATGAAAGCAAACTACAAAGAGGTATGGAGGGAGGCAATTTTTTTTCTGAAACTAATCCCAAATTTTCTATCTTTCTCTTCCACCAATAGTAGCAAGTTTCTTAGTGGTGGAGGAGAAGGATATAAAAGGCAGCTTCAAAATGTTCAGGGAAAAGTGGAATGAAAATATAA